AAAAAAAAAAAAAAATCAAAAAATCTTTACCATAGCCAACAATATAACCACAAACATAAAAATGTTATCTTTCAGAAAGACTCAGTACCCTTCAAGCTCGCTCTTGAGTTTTGAGCTCCCACTACATCATATGATACCCAGCAGACAATATTTCGAAACTTCCAAGAATGGATTTTTATGAAACCAATCGAAGTACAAAAACATTCAGAACAGAGAACTAAATTACTTGCACAAACAATCAGACAATGAAACCAATCGAAGGAACCTACTGAACGGAGTCAGACCCTGCGTGTGCGATTCTTATGGAGATAAACCCTCCGTCATTTTCCCTTTCTTTCTGTCTCTATCTCTGTGTGTAAGCGCCGTTCTTCCTCGCCCGAAAATGTCTGTGGACCTCGTATTCCCGAATGAAAGATTATTTCGACTCAAATCTGGAATTTCATCGATGCTTTGGGTTGATTAGGGTTCGGTCTCGACGTTTATCTCTGAAAGAGGGACAAATGATTTGAGAGTGAAGACAAGGGTATGTAATGGGAGGGTAAATTGGGCATATTCTTGTATCCTATGAATTTATCCAGCATAGTAAACATGGGACAAATTCCAGATTATATAATCCCTTAATGTAAACATGGGATAAATTGCTGACATATAAAGTTAACTTGATTAAATTGTCATATCCCATCACATAAAGTAAACGAAGCCCAAATATATATGAATAATAAAATATATTTTATGTAATTATCGAATTTCAGTTAATCGCTTGTTAAAGATAAACCCTAGGAATCCCTTTTCGCCCAATTGAGTTCATCCGAAAACACGTATCCCTCGATTTTCCAAGCCCCATGTCAAGCTTACCCCTGAAATCATCTCCATACGCTCGTAAGAAAATCTGCTCTACCGGCGGGTGGCTTACGAGCTGGAAATTGCTCGTGGGTTCTTGAAGCTGTTGATGATTGGCAGAAAATTTGAAAAATCTCGATCTTTTTGCTGTAGAGGTTGAAATGGGAGCTGGGTTTGCCTCAGGACTATGTAAAAGGAGAAAGGTCCATTGAGTTTTCCGGTATATTTCCGGGTAGAAAATGAGGAAATACTTGAGCTGGTTTGCCGGACTGAGGAATTTGCTGTTTCAGAAATGGAGAAGGGGCAAAAGGTGGAAAGACCCGATTTTTACTGCAGGATTCGAAAGGATTTGAGATGGAGAAGAAGTACAATAAATGGGTCGAATTGAGTTGCAAAAGTTGGCTAACGTTTCGCCTTATGAAAATGCAATGCATATAGCTGCAGAGGCTAACGAGTTGGATAAATGGGCAGAGGTCGAGATTCAAGCTGGCATTTTTGCAGCACTCGGATATTTTCTACGTGTGTAGCAAAATCGAGACTCGTGCTTTTGTTTTCGAGGGATGGATATAAGAGGGGTTCTTTGATAGAGAGAGTACACATTGATGGATATGGGATTTGAGTATATGTTCAGCTGCTGAATGTGATTAAAGATGATGATAAATCGAAAAGTTTGAAGTAAAGAATGACGAAGGTAAGAAGGGTAATAAAGGAAAAGATTTGGATGGTAATGGAGAAGATAATGCTGAAATGAGTGTCGTGTGTTGAAGATGAGGAAGATGATTATGATAACAGATTTGAAATTTTGCTGAAATCGATTTTTGAGGGGAGGGATTGTAGAAGAAATGTGTTGAGGAGGTTAATGGGAGAAAAGATAGAGAGAGTTATAACTATTAGAAGGGGATTCAACGCGAAAGGTGAAAATTTTGAAAGCAATAACTATTAGAAGAAATGTGGAAGAAGCAATGAAGAAAAAGTGTGCAAAAGACACTAGCATTGGATAGTCAATATATTTCAAATTGGTTCGGTTCAGTTCGGATACTAGCATTGGATTATTGTTCACTTGTAGCTTTCTCTACAGTATTTTTGGTCCGCCGTCATTTTCTTGCAAAACTTTTGTATAATTTTATGCCCCCCACAGAAAATAGGCAGTTTTTCAAAAGCGCTATCAACGCTATCGTCCTAGTTAAGGTTCTCTCTCAGGTACGGATGGCCTTGAGCGACGAAGCCAAACATTTCTCTGGGGCGGCACAGCCGAAAGCAAAAAAGTACATTTGGTGGCGTGGTCTGATGTTTGTAAGCCTAAGAATGACGGGGGATTGGGCTTCAAGGACCCCCGCCGAATGAATAATGCTTTCCTAATGAAGTTAGGATGGGGGATCTTGACGAGACCGGACTCCTTATGGGTTCGTATTCTTAAGGCCAAGTATAATATCAATTTGTCGGCTTCATTGGATAATCTTTGCTGCCGAAACGGATCGTCTTTGATACAAGCCCTCATCAAGATCTGGCTTGACGTAGTGCGAGGTGTCGGGTGGGCAATTGGCGATGGAGTAACAGCCCGGTTCTGGCTTGATCCATGGCTCATTGGTTTGGACCACCCCCTGATACGGTATGTTATTCGACCTCCACCAGACGAGATGCTTCAGTTCCCGGTTGCTAGTTTTGTGGACCCTGATGGTCGGTGGCAATGGAATCGCATACATGGCATACTACCCTCTTCCGTGGTCCTTCGTATAGCAGGCACGCTCCCCCCAAAAGCGACGGCGGGAGCTGATCGAATTTATTGGAGGTTTTCCCCTGACGGTAAATTTTCCACCCGAACAGCCTATGACGCATTATCATTATCACACCAGGTGCGGGACTCTGACCACTTGTTATGGAAATTAATTTGGCGTACATCGGTACCCCAACGGATCCGGACCTTTTTGTGGCTAGCTGCTAAGGGCAGGTTTCTTACTAACCTAGAGCGGGTCCGCCGTCATCTGTCTCCCTCGGAGGTTTGTGACATGTGCGGTGAGACCGAGTCGTTACTACACGTCCTACGCGATTGCCCAGACACTAAAATCCTCTGGGCCCGACTGTTGCCGCCAGACTGCCACCGTGAATTCTTTCAGCTGCCACTTGAACCATAGCTGTGCATGAATTTAGCGAGGGTACGGATGGGGACGTTTGACAATTGGGGTTCCATGTTTTCTATCACTGCATGGCGAGCATGGGGATGGCGAAACGATAGGATTTTCAATCAGCACACCCTAAGTTGCAAGTCAAAATGTCGGGAGGTGATGAACCTGGTTGGGAGTTATGGACGTGTCGTCACAACACTCAAGAAGGTTGGAGCCCCGATCCACACCACTCGGATGATACATTGGGTTCCACCCGCATCGGGATGGTTCAAGGTCAACACTGATGGCGCTTTTGATAGAAATACGGGTCGGAGTAGTGCGGGTGGATTAATTCGAGATGAGATGGGGAGATGGATTGAGGGTTTCATCATGAATATAGGCGCTTGCACTATCACGGGTGCCGAACTTTGGGGCCTTTTCCAGGGATTGCAGCTTGCTTGGGACCGGGGGATCCGACGAGTATCAGCCGAAGTGGATAGTCAATGTGTGACACAAATGGTTTTTGGGACCGAGGACATTGGTGGGGCTCATGCCTCAATTGTTATGGCTATTCGTAGCATGATTCGAAGGGACTGGAGCATTCGTATCCAACATGTTCATAGGGAAGCTAATTTTGCAGCGGACCACATGGCGAGTTTAGCGTCTTCATTTCCTATCGGGTTGCTACGTGTGTCTTCTCCTCCTACAGGAATGGGGTTGTGGCTTGATCATGATATTATTGGGGTGTCTTACCCCCGTCGAGTCCAGTCTAGTAGCGTTGGGCCTTCGGCCTCTTTTATTGTACCGAAAAAAAAAAAGGTTCTCTCTCAGGTTACTGTTAGCCAGCTGTATGTTGATTCAGTTGTTTCCTTTTTAATTTTTGTTCATTTTTTCATTTATGATAAATATTACCTTCTTTCTATACTCATAAAGAAACAAAAGGAGAACAAATTCGTGAAGTTGCTTAAGTTCGAAGCTTAAACCACAATCCCATAATGTTCGTCTTCAATCCACATACGTNGCTATTTGGTACTTTGGTAGCATAAAACAAACTTTTGCCACAACTTGAGTAAAAAAACCTTGCAATTCGCCCTTTTCAGGACATACAATCCAAACAAGCAAAAGATTCAATAAATTTAATAAAGCAATTCTCTGTTCATTTGTTTTTTTCTTTCTTTTGAAGAATCTTTTTGACCCTAAATCTCATAAGGATCATACAATGAATCTCATCCTAATCTTATGGGCATTCCCTATAGGTTTTTAACCTTGGATTAACGCACACTTTGAATGTGTGTATGATTGTGTGTTGGATTAACGCTGCACACCTTTGAATGTGTGTATGATTTTCTGTGTGATCTGACGATAAAATATGTTAGGTTAAACTTACCGATATCATACATTGATTTGAATACGATAAGAGGAAATGAATACACGAGATTACATTATTTATACACACCAATCATCTCAAATACAACAAACTATTACTTCAAGCGAATGACACACTTCACTCTTACCACGCGCAATTTCAAATAAACTCAAACGAGCACGACACTGTTTTTC